CAAAATTTCCATGACAATGGGTATATGTGAAATTACACCCCAAAATGCATTCTGCTACTTCTATCGAGTATGGGGATACCACATGTGTGAGACTTTTTGGGAGCTTAGCCACATACAGGAGCCTGAAATCCAATGACCACTGTGAAAGCCTGAAGGTGCGTAACTTCCTCACTTCACTTCCTCACTACCTATCACAGTTTCGAAGGCCCTGAAATGCCAGGATAGCACCAAACCCTGCCAAATGACCTTTTTGGAAAGTAGACACCCCCAGGAATTTAAAAAGAGGCATGGTGAGTACTTTGCAGATCTCATTTTTTCTCACAAGGTTTTGAAATATAAAAAAAAGAAAAGAAAAAATGTTTTTTGATTTTTTTCTTCATTTTCCAAAAACGAGATCTGCAAAATACTCACCATGGTTCTTATCAAATTCCTTGGAGTGTCTAATTTCCAAAAAGGGGTCATTGAGTTGGGGGTTTGGTGCTATCTTGGCATTTCAGGGCCTCTGAAACTGTGATGATAGGTAGTGAGGAAGTGTAAAGAGGAAATAAAGCCCTTTAAAAGCCTGAAGGTGCTTATTGGATTTTGGGGTCCTGTACGTGGCTAGACTGCCAAAACGTCTCTCACATGTGGTACCCCCATACTCAGGAGAAGCAGAATGTATTTTGGGGAGTAATTCCACATATACTCATGACGTGTGTGAGCAATAAATCATTTAAGTGACAATTTTGTGTAAAAAAACAAAAAAAAAACTTTTTTTCGTCATTTTCCAAAAACTTGAGTTAAAAAAATTAACTATTCTATTGATTCAACATGCCTCTCAGCAAATAGTTTGGGTTGTCTACTTTCCAAAAAGGGGTCATTTTTGGGGGGTGGGTGCATTTTATGCCCAGAATTAAAGGTTTATGCCACACATCACTCCCTCTTCTAACCACCTGAAGATCAGGCCTTTTCTGACTTTTTGTTCGCATGAAAAAAAATCAGTATTTCGTGCTCGGAAATTAATTTAAACCCCCCCAAACATTATATATTTTTTGAAAGCAAACACCTTAGTGAATAAAATTGTGGGTGCTGCAATTTTTGTATGTCACATAGTACTCGCGCAGCGTTTTTTCAAACGTAATTTAAAAAAAAATACACTTTTTTTACTTTTAATGCACAAAAACACAATATATTGTCCAATTATTTGGTAAAATATAAAATATGATGGTATGCCAAGTAAATAGATACCAAACATTGCATGCTTTAAAACTGCACATGCCCCGTGCAACGGCGACAAACTGCATACGTTTTTTAATATCCATAGGCAACGATTTAACTTCAACTTTTCTAACATTATCATTATCCCAGTTACGATAGTAATATTACATAAAGGAATTTAGGATGTTACTTAGTTTAGAAGACTTTTTTGTTTTTTAACTCTTCATTTGGTCACTGTTCCATTTTGTTCACAAATTTCGATGTGAGTTAGCTTGTAGGCAAGATACCTACTGTTAGCTAGATATTTTGCTGCTCCAGTCAGGAGGGAAGGAGTTAATGTATTTTTCCTGCCATTCTTGGTCTGAATTTGCAAGCTTTTTGAGTCTGACCCACCAGTTCTGTGTCATTATAAAAGGGACAGGGGTCCGGATCCAAGGAGTCGCCATCAAGCAGAGCCTTGCTTGGTCTTAGAGAGAGAAATGCCATGAGTCTGAGAGGTCCTGAGCTCTACGGCCAGTTCAATCTGCCCTAGCCTGACATCAGCTTCTTGAGCACTGCCATTATGGAGTGTGCCAAGCATGGACTTCACCTGTGCAGGTATACTGGGGCAGCCAAAGCCTGGTTAGGGTTTTAGATATTGAAAGACTGTTGCCTTCTTTGAGTTGGATACCTGAATCCTTTCAGTGAAGTTTTGAAAGGTTTCCATGTCTGGTCTGAAGGTATTCAAAGGGGTGTGTGCAAGTATTGGGCACACTACCCATAGTCTACAACTCGGGTCAGTAAAATACATTAGGGTATGAAGTTAGCTCTGCAAGAATGAATGCAGGAAGGAGTACAGCATGTGGTTACAAAGAGTAACAGAAGGTAAGCAGCCTATCATGAAGCATAGTTCCTGTGACACATGGGGTATCCCCTAGCAGTGAGGGAGTTACTTCTGGTGTCCCCCCCCCCCCCCCCCCCCCCAAAGTGGTCTGTCTATCATAGTAATGGGAGCCGATCAGCACAGCAGAGGCCCCCATCATGTCCACCAGGTACGAAAGAGGAATAGTTAATTAAACACATGCATGGAGTTTGTGCTAGGTGTATGGCTGAACCACATTCTGGACTCAGTCCCTTCTAATGCAGCAAGTATCTGACAAGGTGTGCATTGACATGGGGACAGAGAGTGTAAACTGGAGTCCATTTTATTATTCAGTTTAATATTAGGTGCCTGGCAGGACCTCATTCTGTTGCTGGGAGTGAGGTAACAGAAATAAACTGGACGGGTGGAGTGAGCAAAGGCTAAGCATGTCCCTCCTAATGCAACAAGTGTCAGACAAGGTGTGCATTGACACGGGGACAGAGAGAGTTAAGTGGAGGCCATTTTATTTTTCAGTGTACTGTACACAGTGTATGGCCATCTCTAAGTTGGAGATCTGCCTTAAGGTTGAGTTATCCCTGAAAGCAGCCTCCACCATGTCCCAGGGCATTGATGAACATGACACAGTAAAGAATCCCATGTGTAGGGTGAGTGTCCCCATCCTTGGTGCCCAGCGTAACCAGAAGAACCAACAGTGGGGGTAGAAGTAAAATATCCTTCTAAAATATTCTCTGATTATGATTGTGGACAGTGTGCACATGCAGCATTTAGAATGATCAGTAGATTCTTGCCAGCAGAAGTCCTTGGCTGTGTGTGGACATATGAATGTAGCCTTAGGACTGGCAAACAGAGGTGTGGCTGGAGAGACTCCAGTAAGTGTCATCACTTGTAGTCTCTACATCTCAGCATGGACCTGGTGGTCCTTCATCTTATCTTATACATAAGGTCAGTCTATCTGGAGTTCAAGCTATTAAGCTGAAAGGGGTCCCTCCACCATTAAGACCAAAGAACAAGGATTATTGAGAGAGGGCTGTCAAACTCATTTTACACAAATTACAGAAACAAAAACAGTGTGATGGTAGTCACTTTGGGTGGGGGGCCCATAGAACCCAGCTCACTTTGGAGAGGTGGGGAGACCCCTGTCCCTATCAATAACCCTCTTATGTGTAAATCACCCTCTGCCTGTTAGGGGTACATGGTGATTGGTTCTAATATTGTGTTGGCTGTGTCTCAGACTGTGTAGACATGATGTCAGGGCTCCCAGGTGTGGCTGACGCAGGGAAACGCAGACTTCAGATATGTGATAAAACAATATAATTTATTAACACTAACCATACAAACATAAACGCAGTGCAATACTAAAACATAACACAGTGCAAACAAACCAAACCAACCACCCACAGATAACAGTACATACAAGCAAGCGTCGTCAGGCAGGCCGGGTCAATATCAATAGGGCAGGTAGGTACAGGGGGAGCAAGCGGAGAGATGTTTCGGGGTCACAGGCCAGGTTCAGCAGGTAGCTAGCAGCGTAGTACAGAGGGTCAGGCAGAGGGATGGTCAGGGTCACAAGCCAGGGATCAGAACAGGTAGCAAGCAGCGTGGTACAGAGGGTCAGGCAGAGGGATGGTCAGGAGCGAGCCGGGATCAGAGCAGGAGAAGTCAGCAGTGGTTCAGATCAGGCAGGGTCAGCAAAGGAAGAGAAACAGGATGCAGGACAGATACAGGGCCCAGGACAAACACAACACCAAGGCAGAGTCTGCAAGTCTGGCCATCCCCTTAAATACACCAGTATCATCAGTTCCAGGTGTTAGCTGGCTGAAAGGTTGAGTCTCTGATTTCTGGGAGCACCCGCTGGCCAGCCCTGGTACTGCAGATCAAAAGGCAGGTGAGTCCCACCATTGCTGGCCAGTCCATTCCTGACAGTACCCCCCCCTCAAGGAGCGGCCTCAGGACGCTCCAAACAGTCCTAGCTGGGCAAAATGTTCCACCGCTCGGGTCTGGTAACTGGCGGGATATCAAAGACTGGCACACCGGGCAGGACTCCGGGGCACACCGGGCTGGACTCCGGGCAGAGGCACACCGGGCTGGACTCCGGGCAGAGGCACACACCGGGCTGGACTCCGGGCAGAGGCACATCGGGCTGGACTCTGGGCAGAGGCACATCGGGCAGAGGCACACTGGGCAGAGGCACACCGGGCAGAGGCACACATCGGGCAGAGGCACACCGGGCAGAGGCACATCGGGCAGGACTCCGGGCAGAGGCACATCGGGCAGGACTCCGGGCAGAGGCACATCGGGCAGGACTCCGGGCAGAGGCACATCGGGCAGGACTCCGGGCAGAGGCACATCGGGCAGGACTCCAGGGCAGGGCACATCGGGCAGAGGCACATCTCCGGGCAGAGGCACATCGGGCAGAGGGACATCGGGCAGGACTCCGGGCAGAGGCACATCGGGCAGGGGACTCGGGCAGAGGCACATCGGGCAGGACTCCGGGCAGAGGCACATCGGGCAGGACTCCGGGCAGAGGCACATCGGGCAGGACTCCGGGCAGAGGCACATCGGGCAGGACTCCGGGCAGAGGCACATCGGGCAGGACTCCGGGCAGAGGCACATCGGATTACCAGGCGAAGCAGCAGGCAGCGGGCCACCAGGCGGAGCGGCAGGCACCGGGCCCCCGGGCGGAGCGGCAGGCACCGGGCCCCCGGGCGGAGCGGCAGGCACCGGGCCCCCGGGCGGAGCGGCAGGCAGGCACCGGGCGTGCCCCGGGCCCCCCGGGCGGAGCGGCAGGCGCCGTGCCCCCGGGCGGGGCGACAGGCGCCGTGCCCCCAGGCGGAGCGGCAGGCGCCGGGCAGGCGGAGCGGCAGGCGCCGGGCCCCCAGGCGGGGCGACAGGCATCGGGCCCCCAGGCGGAGCGGCGGGGCCGGACCCCCAGGTGGAGCGACAGGTCTCGGGCCCTCAGGTGGAGCGGTGGGCGCCGGACCCCCAGGTGGAGCGACAGGTCTCGGGCCCTCAGGCGGAGCGGCGGGCGCCGGACCCCCAGGTGGAGCGACAGGTCTCGGGCCCTCAGGCGGAGTGGCGGGCGCCGGACCCCCAGGTGGAGCGACAGGTCTCGGGCCCTCAGGCGGAGCGACAGGTCTCGGGCCCCCAGGCGGGGCGGCGGGCGCCGGACCCCCAGGCGGAGCGGCGGGCGCCGGACCCCCAGGCGGAGCGACAGGTCTCGGGCCCCCAGGCGGAGCGGCGGGCGCCGGACCCCCAGGCGGAGCGGCGGGCGCCGGACCCCCAGGCGGAGCGACAGGTCTCGGGCCCTCAGGCGGAGCGGCGGGGCACCGAGTCACCAGGCACGACAGTGGGCTCCGAGTCAACTGGCATGACCGCTGGCACTGGGTCAGACATTGGATCGTCTGGCTCGACAGCAGGCATCGGGTCACCAGGCATCAGGTCATTTAGCTCGACAGCGGGCACCGCGTCATCTGGCAAGGCAGTGGGCTCCGAGTCAACTGGCATGACCGCTGGCACTGGGTCAGACATTGGATCGTCTGGCTGGGCAGCGGGCATCGGGTCACCAGGCATCAGGTCATTTGGCTCGACAGCGGGCACCGCGTCATCTGGCAAGGCAGTGGGCTCCGAGTCAACTGGTATGACCGCGGGCACTGGGTCAGACATTGGATCGTCTGACTGGACAGCGGGCATCGGGTCACCAGGCATCAAGTCATTTGGCTCGACAGCGAGCACCGCGTCATCTGGCAAGGCAGTGGGCTCCGAGTCAACAGGCACGACAGTGGGCACCAGGTCATCAAGTACCGGATTGTCTGGCTCGACAGCGGGCATCGGTCACCAGGTATGACAGCGGGCACTGGGTCACCAGGCATCAGGTCATTTGGCTCGACAGCGGGCACCGCGTCATCTGGCAAGGCAGTGGGCTCCGAGTAAACAGGCACGACAGTGGGCACCGGGTCATCAGGTACTGGATTGTCTGGCTTGACAGCGGGCACCGGGTCACCAGGCATTGGATCGTCTGGCTCGACAGCGGGCATCACCAGGCATCAGGTCATTTGGCTCGCCAGCGGGCACCGCGTCATCTGGCAAGGCAGTGGGCACCGAGTCACCAGGTACGACAGCGGGCTCTGAGTCAATTGGCACGATAGCGGGCACCGGATCAGGTACCGGATCATCTGGATCAACAGCGGGCATCGAGTCAACTGGCCTAATAGGATCGTCAGGCTGGATCAGTTCATCATGCTGGGTAGAGGCATCAGCTGAATGCCGGCGTCCGGCTGAGTAGAGGCTTCAGGCTGAGTGAGTTCAGGCTGAGTAGAGGCTCCAGGCTGAGTAGAGGCTCCAGGCAGAAGAGAGGCATCAGGCTGCGTACAGGCATCAGGCTGCGTACAGGCATCAGGCTGAGTAGAGACTTCAGGCTGAGTAGAGGCTTCAGGCTGAACCACGGAAGGCAGGTTCACCGGTTTGGATACTGGCAGGATGGTATTGGTTGGAAAGAATTTTTGCTTTTTTCTGGTTTTAACTACTGGAGCACTGCAAGTAAACGCAGGTCTGCAAACGAATGGAGCAGCTGGAGACAGAGAAGAACTGGAGGATGGAACAGGAGAGGGAGCAGTTGCTACAGAGGGCTTTTTTACAGGGTTAAAGGCAGGATAGGTGCAGCGAGTGGGAACAGGGTACTGACATGCGGTAGATAGCCAAGTATACTGGGCTGTAACTGGAGGAGCTGTTGGGAATACAGGAGTAGAGCTTTGAGGAGATAGATTAGAAGCAGGACTGGGTTTTTGTAAGCTGACTGAGGCTGGGTGTAACAAATCTGTCCATGTCTGCAGTATGGGTTGAACAAAGCTGAGCTTACACAAAGCCTGTCTGACCAAAGACTGCACTGCGTTTATACAATCTCTTAGTACCTGTGGTGAACATGTGGAATAACGCTCCAGAAAGTAACCCACATCATCCTCTAATAACTACACCAGGGACTCTACCTGGTCTGCACTAAATGGTGGCAAAAATTCATCCCTGCATTCGGGGAAACCAGATGAAACCAACTCAACACAAACCTTAATCAATGGCTGCACCATAGAGAAATCTGTGCCCTGATCTACTAGAACATGAGCGAGCCGTATACATTCTAGCAGTTCATCCCGGGGATACTCCTTCAGAGTCTGATAAGCATATTTTCTGTCATCAAGCACTAGCAGAGATAAATACTCAACCTCATCCAGATCCATCCTTCCCAGCAACAAGCCAAGATGGCTTCCCTGTGCAGCCACTTCTGGTCAGGATTGGCCTTGGTGTAATGTCAGGGCTCCCAGGTGTGACCAGAGGTGTGTGACTGACGCAGGGAAACGCAGACTTCAGATATGTGATAAACAATATAATTTATTAACACTAACCATACAAACATAAAACGCAGTGCAATACTAAAACATAACACAGTGCAAACAAACCAAACCAACCACCCACAGATAACAGTACATACAAGCAAGCGTCGTCAGGCAGGCCGGGTCAATATCAATAGGGCAGGTAGGTACAGGGGGAGCAAGCGGAGATGGGTCGGGGTCACAGGCCAGGTTCAGCAGGTAGCTAGCAGCGTAGTACAGAGGGTCAGGCAGAGGGATGGTCAGGGTCACAAGCCAGGGATCAGAACAGGTAGCAAGCAGCGTGGTACAGAGGGTCAGGCAGAGGGATGGTCAGGAGCGAGCCGGGATCAGAGCAGGAGAAGTCAGCAGCGGTTCAGATCAGGCAGGGTCAGCAAAGGAACAGAAACAGGATGTAGGACAGATACAGGGCCCAGGACAAACACAACACCAAGGCAGAGTCTGCAAGTCTGGCCATCCCTTAAATACACCAGTATCATCAGTTCCAGGTGTTAGCTGGCTGAAAGGTTGAGTCTCTGATTGCTGGGAGCACCCGCTGGCCAGCCCTGGTACTGCAGATCAAAAGGCAGGTGAGTCCCACCATTGCTGGCCAGTCCATTCCTGACACATGCTTAGGAGATACTGTATGTGGGGTGGGGGGTTGTTGATTGTTTAATGTGCTGTGGCTGCATCCCATTGTTCTATTGTTTGTCTGGCTTGGGAGCAAACTATTATGGGATGTATGTGCTTATGTGTATTAGCTTAGTGGGGGGGTGTCTGCAGCAGCCCTCCCTCCTGATGGGACTGTCAGTTTGAATACCTGTGTGTCTCTTGTTACTAAATGTAGATTGCCCCGCCCTGTGTCATTATGCAGGGAGGGGGGATTTCCCCTGAGTGTATATACAGTTGCAAGAAAAAGTATGTGAACCCCTTGGGATTACGTGGAGTTTTGCATGAATTGGGCATAAAATGTGCTCTGAACGTCATCTAAGTCACAACAATAGAAGAACACAGTCTGCTGAACATAATACTACACAAACATTAGATGTTGCCATGGTTTAATTGCACATAACATGTAAACATTCACAGTGCAGGGAGGAAAAAGTATGTGAGGCCCTAGCTTAATGACTTCTCCCAGAGCTAATTGGAGCCAGGAGTGAGCCAACCTTGACTCCAATCAGTGTGATGATATTGGATGTGTTGCTGACAGCTGTCCTGCCCTTAAAAAACACACACCTGTTTTGGGTTTACTGGTTTAAAGAAGCACTGTCTGATGTGAACTATGCCTCGCAGAAAAGAGCTCTCAGAAGACCTACGATCAAGAATTGTTGACTTGCATGAAGCTGGAAAGGGTTACAAAAGTATCTCCAAAAGCCTTGATGTTCATGTGTCCATGGTAAGACAGACTGTCTACAAATGGAGAAAGTTTAGCGCTGTTGCTACTCTCCCTAGGCGTGGTCATCCTGTAAAAATGACTGCAAGAGCACAGCGCAGAATGCTGCATGAGGTAAAGAAGAATCCCAGAGTGTCAGCTAAAGACCTACAGAAATCTCTGGCACATGCTAACATTTTTGTTGACACATCTACAATAAGGAAAACATTAAACAAGAATGGAGTACATGGGAGGACACCATGGAGGAAGCCATTGCTGTCCAAAAAGAATATTGCAGCACGTTTGAAGTTTGCAAAAGAGCACCTGGATGTTCCACAGCACTACTGGCAAAATATACTGTGGACAGATGAAACCAAGATTGAGTTGTTTGGGAAGAACACACAACACTATGTGTGGATAAAAAAAGGCACAGCACACCAACATCAAAACCTCATCCCCACTGTAAAACATGGCGGAGGGAGCATCATGGTTTGGGGCTGCTTTGCTGCCTCAGGGCCTGGACGGATTGTTGTCATTGATGGGAAAATGAATTCCAGAGTTTATGAAGACATTTTGCAGGAAAACGTACGACCATCTGTCCGCCAACTGAAGCTCCGCAGAGGATGGGTGATGCAACAGGACAATGACCCAAAGCATAGCAAAGCAAGAGGAGTGGTCCAAAATTACTCCAGATCATTGTGCAGGTCTGATCTGCAACTACAGGAAACGTTTGGTTGAGGTTATTGCTGCCAAAGGAGGGTCAACCAGTTATTAAGTCCAAAGGTTCACATACTTTTTCCTCCCTGCACTGTGAATGTTTACATGTTATGTGCAATTAAACCATGGCAACATCTAATGTTTGTGTAGTATTATGTTCAGCAGACTGTGTTCTTCTATTGTTGTGATTTAGATGACGTTCAGAGCACATTTTATGTCCAATTCATGCAAAACTCCACGTAATCCCAAGGGGTTCACATACTTTTTCTTGCAACTGTATCTTGTATCTGTTTTCAACTAAAGTCGTCTAGTCTTGTATGGTCAGCTGTGGTGTCTGTTAGTGTTCGGACAGGGAAGCGGTATTCTAACTGAAGTACTCAAGCACAGTCTGGGTCGGTTCCATTACATTGGTGCCAAGCGGTGGGATTGTGCTTCCTGGCTGTGAACAAGTCCAAACCACCACTGGGATTCAAGATCAGGAAAGTAGACGTCGGTCACCCTCAGTTCAGATATGGACATGGCATCAGAGTTCCCGGGGCTACTGCGGATCGTTCTTGCAACATACCCCAAGACTGTGTATGGGGGTGAGTACCTGGAGCTCAGGCAGCGGATTCGGGTGGCACTTTGGAGTGGAGCCCTCCAGGCTGCTGGTATGTACAAGGGCAAGTGCTATCCAACCCCAGGGGAACGGGCCAGGGACCAACGGGAGTTACAGATGCCATTCCTGAGAGAGCTACCCCAGGAGCAAGGGGTGACTGAGTTGGACAGGCTGGTCCAGCAGGAGATATAGCTGTACAACCGATATTGAGCTCTGCAATGGCACACAGAGCAGAAATATTTAGGGGTGACAACAGAATGCTCTCCAGAGGGATATGACTTTGGTGGCCCTGGATTACTGTGGGAGAGCCTTACAGATCATTTTGTGTTTGGCGATGAAGGAAAACCTACCCTTGAGGACCTGCGAGAAGACAGAGAGGCTATGTTCAGTCTCACAGGGGTCTCAGATCTTGAACCAGATCTGGAATACCTGCTGATGAAAGAACAGCATCTGGAAAGGGCATACAGGTAACTGCTAAAACATGTTCAGCAGCATGCCCAAGAATCGACAGTGGAAAATTCCAGAGATTTTACGTCCCCAAA